ACAAGATGTTCTCCTGGCACAATGGGAAACCTGATGCCTCTGTCAAGAGCCAGTGGATAGAACCAACCTTAAACCTGTGCAGAACACCAGCAGGGAGGACTTAATTCCACAGAAGGACGGATTTTCCTGCTTATGGAGTCACTGACGTTTTTCAAGTGTCGCAATATTGCCATGAACCTGCATTTGGTGTCTCTGCTCATTCAACTCCTCTGCAAATTTGGAATACGGAAGTTGTCTGTAACTTCTGCTACATTAACCTGTTGAGACCACTTGGCTTTATCAGTTTTGGCAAACTTACCTGGAGACTTGCAAGGCCTAGGTGCACCTACGCACATCCAGATCAGCAAAACATCAGCTGTCCTCTGAAGCAATTGTTGGTGATGACATATTTTGTGACAGGAAATGATTGCAAAATACTGGGTTCTCTGGATTAAAAACTTCTGTCCTGCTCAGAAACATGGATACAACTGGTACGTTCTAAACATAGATTCCTTCGGGTTTTGTTCTGGGACAAAAATCAAAACCACTTTTCAGGATTTATTGTTTAATCATTAACGCCTGGGCACTCAGTAAATTTGTTACTGTTACAATCTCTGATTTTCCACTGGAAAAAAAAGCAAAGTTAAAGTTCAACCATTAATATTGAGTTTGCCCATGCCACTCAAACAAGGGACAAGCCATTACAATATCTCACTAAATTGCTCTGTGGGTAATTGCCCTGGCAATATTAAGGAATTAGATACAAGACCGGTAGATCCATTAATACAGTTTTGATTCACTAGTGCAGTAAAGTTCAAAACAGCCTTGAATGATTGCATCCTTATCAGGCTAGAGGAGGTAGCCCTGTCGCCATGACTTTTGGTGGAATGACCCAGCAAGAGCTGCAAGGTAATCAAACAGAAAATATTCCTACTGATCACCCAAAAAGGAAGCAATGGAGAAAGAAAAAGCAGGAGTTCCCTGTGGAGGAACATGTCTATTGGTTCATGTTGGAGCAGACCTATTCAGATTGAAGTTTATGGGGGTATATGAAATGTAAATAGACAAATGAAAATCCCCAAACAAACAAACAAAAAGCCTCCCCTCCTCTTCTACTGAGCTCCTTAAAGCTTTGTTCTACCCAGAAATTGTACCAATTTTCCAATTCACTGCCACCTTATGGCATTTCAGAGAGACAACACTTCAGTAATTTCTATCAGACACTTCACATTTTCAGGCAGCCTCCCTGGGAACTTGGATGTTACAGAAACAGGGCAGCTGTAAAAGTGCCCCATGCATCCAGATTTGGAACAATATTAATGCCTGAGATGCTGGGTTATAACAGCTTGTGAAAACTGATCATCAAAACATCAATTCTATTTATATTTGCAGATTCTAAATGGAGGTCATTTCATCAGCCAAGGGGACAAAATAAATATGGACTTTTCAATGTTGTCAAAAGAGAATCTTTCAGTCTAAAAAAGCAACCAGCTCACTCATGACTCTCAAAAATGATTTTAATTGTCAGTCAGTCCATTTTTGAAATTGAGGATGAAAGCTTAACAGATACCCTTATTGTATGTTTAGGGTTTTTCTGCAAGTAGTCTTAGCTAAGCAAACAATCTATGAAAAGACTAACAGAAATTGGCGATGCTTTATAGTTTCTCATCCCTTCAAATACAAATAATAATCCTCCTTTAAAGCACACTTGTGTGGTTTCCTGGTGGATGAGAAGATGCTATGACTTGAATGGACAGGCTTTGGAGACTTGGCTGGTTAATTATTACTTGGAAATATGGCCCAGATTGCCTAATATGAAATATTGCAGCTGTGATTTTTGTAATATGCATTCCCCAAATGGATGGATAGATTTGGTATTCAGAACCAAGTTGTGGTTTTGATTGGTTTGGTACTGAAGAGGAAAGTGGGTGATTTTAGGATACTAGATACAGGAGGACAAGCACAAAGTTGTTTTCCTGAAGTAACCTTGTTCTCTGTAAGTGAATGAAGTTGATTTCCCATTTTTATTATCAGGTTGTAGACTCGTTTCAAAGCTCTAAGGGACATTTTTCAAATGGACGCTATCAGTATAAATTATGCATTGGTCTGATTCTTATTTACCACTGTTATGAGTAACAGCAAATGCTAAAAAGCAAAAAGCTCACCCTTCCCCACCTGCTGTTTTTCAGAGTGCCAACTTTTTTAAGAAACAAAGCTCAGCTGTCTCTTCTAAGTCAGTTCTGCTGTTTACGTAGTTGTTTGAAAGAACTTTGTCAGAAAGTAAGAAAATGTGGCTTGTGTTAGTGTTTTGATGCTCAAGGCCAGAAAAAATAATTTCAAGCTCATGACTGGAATGCCTGGTGGTGCATTTCAGGTAGAAGAGAGCTGGCCAGTGCCTGGTTGCATATTTGTCTTTTTTATGTAAGAATGCTCTTCAGGGAACTAACCCAATCAGTAGCCCTAATTTTTAACAACAGCTCTACCAAATAAGAGAGAAAATGTAATTTTCACTGTTGGCAGTTTATTGAAAGTGTGTCTCAGCAATGTTTGACACAGTGGTGTCTCAGAGGGGGGGCCGGAATAATGAGTACAGTAGGGTGGCTTGGGTGACTGCAGTACCACTTTGATGTAGTGACTTCAGACCATCTCTTTTAGCCCTTGTTAGGGAACACCACTCTCACCTGCCAGTTTCCCAGCTGCACAGGTAGGTCATGAAGAATCAAACCTTAAATGATCTCATGGCCTTTGTAGTAGGTAAAACCATTCATCATTTAGGAGGCAGGAAAAAAGGCTTCCAGAAAACCAAGCAGCCTGGGGCAAGCAAAATGCTGATCGGGACCATTTTGAGAGATGGGGTTTGTTTTCTGCTTTTGAAAACAGCTCTTAGAAAGGATAAATTTTAGCTGCCTTTGGCCAGGTCTTTGTTTGCTCACATAGCAATGGTGTTCAGAAGGGGGCTAGAAAAAAAAGAAATCTGGCAATATTTTGATGCCTTGAAAAGAGAACAGCAGCTTTTAGTTAGTCTCCAACACTGGCAAAATATGCTTCTGCTAGCCCAAGTTATTTTGTTTGTGGTATAAACTGTTCTGGCAAGAGCACTTTTTCTTTTAATGGCATAAGCAAGTGGTGCTCAATTTTTGCTGAGGTCTGCTGAGTAATTTTACTGAGGTCACAGCATGCAGCAGTTCTCCAGCGCCTGCTTTGCCAGGGCTGAGAACTGGTGCCCCTGGGGATACTTCAGAGAAGCCCTGAAGAAGTACAAGGTCTTCCGGAACCTGGAACTTGGCATGCCTGGAGCTCTGGCCAGGGCCAAGCTCAATCTACCCACGGTGGCGGCAAGACCTGGCCATGAGGGTGTTTAGTGGCTCCAATACAAACTGTGTTTGCTGTCGGGAGGTTTTGCTGTTAACAGCTGAATTGGGAGAACTTTCTAAGAGAGCCTTGATCTCCTTTCCCCCGTTTGGCACAGCTTCTGCAGAATCCAGGGGTTGCCATCAATTCATGTGCCACGTCCACGGCTGTTCCCCCCCAGTCACACCACAGGCCTAAGGGTGACACGAGATCCTGCAAGAAACATGGAGAGGGACTGCTTACAAGGGGGTATAGCAACAGGACAAGGGGGAATGGCTTCAAACTGAAAGCGAGTAGGTTTAGTTTAGGTCTTAGGAAGAAATTTACTGTGAGGGTGGTGAGGCACTAGAACAGGTTGCCCAAAGCAGGTGTGGATGCCCCATCCCTGGAAGTGTTCAAGGCCAGGCTGGATGAGGCTCGGAGCGGTCTAGTGGAAAGTGTCCCTGCCCGTGGAGCGGGGCTGGAACTGGATGGTCCAACCCATCCTGTGATTCTGCAACAGCACTGTGCGCGTCAGCGCCATTGTCTTTCACAGCTCGACGAAGCAGGACCGCGGCACCTCGGTGCCTGACAGATTTTAGGGGCTCCCTACGCGCCCCCCAGGCGCGCTCCCGGCGGGCCGGCCCGCGAGGTCGCGCCCGAGGGGCGGTGTCCGCTCGCGCTGCCGGCCGCGCATGCGCGGCGCTGCCCCGGCCCCCGCAGAGGTGAGCGGCCGTGCCCCGGCGGGAGCGGCCGCGCCCGCGCGCACCGCCATTGGCCCGCGGCGGGCGGCCTCATCGCCGCAAGCCAATCGCCGCGCTCCGCCGCGGGAGCCAATGGCAGCCCGCGGCCGCGCTCCGCCCCGGGCTGCGGCTCGGAGCCGTCCCAGAGACGTGTGACGGAGCCATCGCGGTCGCTCATTGGCTGTCCTGNGCGGCACCTCGGTGCCTGACAGATTTTAGGGGCTCCCTACGCGCCCCCCAGGCGCGCTCCCGGCGGGCCGGCCCGCGAGGTCGCGCCCGAGGGGCGGTGTCCGCTCGCGCTGCCGGCCGCGCATGCGCGGCGCTGCCCCGGCCCCCGCAGAGGTGAGCGGCCGTGCCCCGGCGGGAGCGGCCGCGCCCGCGCGCACCGCCATTGGCCCGCGGCGGGCGGCCTCATCGCCGCAAGCCAATCGCCGCGCTCCGCCGCGGGAGCCAATGGCAGCCCGCGGCCGCGCTCCGCCCCGGGCTGCGGCTCGGAGCCGTCCCAGAGACGTGTGACGGAGCCATCGCGGTCGCTCATTGGCTGTCCTGCCCCGGCCCCGCTCGGGTTGGCCCTGCGATAGCCGGAAGGGAGCCCGCCCTGCCATTGGCCGCCCGGCCGCGCTGCTAGGGCGGCGGCGGCGCGCTCCCATTGGCTGTCCGCCCCGCTTCGGGGAGCATCGGCCGCGCCCGCGGCGGCGCCGCGATTGGTCACGACCCGTTACGGGCACTCCCGTAACGGCCCCGCGATTGGTGCCGAGCAGGCTCGGGCGTTTCCGTGCGGGCCTCGGGCCGGGGCTCGCGGGCGCGCCGGGGCTGCTCGGCCGGGTATTCACAGACGGCACTTACGGCCGTTCCGCAGCGTGGGGCGGCGGCAGCCACGGGCGGCTGCGCGGCTTTGGCGCACGCACAGAGCGCAGCGGCGGGAGCCCGGCACGCAGCGGAGGCAGCAGCGGGGACAAAGGGACCGATCGGCAGGAACGGGGAGGGGGGCCCGGCGGGAGGCTTCAGCCGGGCGCGCGAGTCCTACGTCCCTTGGGCGCCTCGGGAAGCAGCAGCAGGCGCAGCAGCAGCAGCCGCAGCAGCAGCCGCAGCAGCAACAACCGCCGCCGCCGCCAGCGCTCTGAAGCCGGGCTGAAAGACAAGCAGGGAAGCCGCCGCCGCCGTCATGGCCTGTGTCGCCGCCGCCGGTCCCCGCCCGCAGTGCAGCGTGCCCAGCCTGAGCCGCCGCCAGGTGCCCGTGCGGGCGCAATGAGCAGCGTGGCCACCGGAGCCACCGCCACCACAGCGCCGCACTGAGCAGCAGCGTCAGCGAGCAGCGAGGCCGCCCGGGCCGCCTCACCCCCCTCCGCGCGCCGCGGATCCCGCCGCCGCCGCCGGATCCTATTGCGAGCAGTATCCTCATCGCCGCCGCTCGGCGGTACCCTCGAGATCCCTCCGCCGGGGGAGAAAAAAATAGTCCCGTTGCCTGCCGCCTCCCTCAGAGGCGAGGGGGAAGGAGAGCAGCGGGGACGGGGGAGGGAAGAGGAGGAAGAAAAAGAAGAAAGGAAAAAAAAAGGAAAGAGATAAAATAAAAGGAGAGAAGCGCGGCGGCGGGATCGGAGGAGCCGGGCCGCGAGCCTCCGCCCCATGTGACTGGCGCCCGGGGTGGGGGCAGCGAGGCCCAGTGAACCCACCTCGCTCGGGAGCGGCGCCGGGGGGAGGCGGCTCTCGGACCCACCGGCGCGGCCGGGAAGGATGGTCGTGTGAGGAGCGGGCGGCGCGAGGAGGAGCAGGAGGAGGCAGGAGAAGAAGCAGCAGCCGCCGGGCGACAGAGACCGAGAGGGGAGGGGGCTTCCCCGGGGGGGGGAAGGGGGGGTCCCGGCGTTTCATGTGGCACGTCCCGCCCGTCTCCTGCAGCTGAGCGACCGAGGGAGCGGCAGGCGGGCCCGCCGGGGCGAGGCGGAGGGCGAAGGCAGGAAGAGGAGAGAGGTGATCGCCGTCGGGGCAGAGCGGGGGAGACCATGTCCGGGCGGCCCAGGACCACCTCCTTCGCGGAGAGCTGCAAGCCGGTGCAGCAGCCCTCGGCCTTCGGCAGCATGAAAGTCAGCCGTGAGTATCGTGCCCCCCTCGGATCGGGCGGTGAGGGCCGCGGGGGCTCCCCCCGCCCTTCGCCCGGGCGGGGAGCGGCGAAGGGAGCCCGGCCCCAGCCCCGGCGGCTCCTTTCTCTCCCCTTCCCCCCCCATTAACCTTGAATAGGCGCACGCCGCCGCTCCGTGCGGGGCCTGCTGGACGGAAAATCCCGGTGGGTTTGTCCTCGTCCTTAGCTCCTGGTCGCTGCCAGCGGCCTCTGGCTCGTTAAAAAGCCATTTTTTTACCCCCTTTGTGAAACGGATTGGGAGCTCCGTAGCCTGTATTTCCTTTTTATTCCCCACCACCACCACCTCCTCCCTCGAAAGGAGGAAACGAATTGCAGGCACACAGGTATGACCGTGACATTCACGTTCATTATGTGCGCTTTTTTTTTTTTTTTTTTTTAAAGCTCTCTTGGCTTTGAAGGGGAGAGAGCATGGAAGGTTTTTCCATGCACCCGTAGATCGGGTGTGAGCACCTTTTAGTCCAGCCCATAAAAGAAAAAAAAAAAAGGGAGGGGGAGGGGATCTTACAAAAGGTGTCTCTAATATCCTCCAGGCTCTGGTAAAATACTCAATAGAAGGGATGGGAAAATGGTTATTTTGAAATAACTAGTCTGTTGGCTCACATGTCGAGCTCGGCGTTCCTTCTCCGATTTTCTGATCAGAGGAATATTTTTAATAATGAGGCCTGTGCTTTATTCTGCACAGGCACGTCAGAAATTGTCCTTAGTGTATGCCCATCCTTCGTATTTTAGCTGGTGGGGTTAGCTGGTGTATGTGAATTGAAAATATGTATTAAATCTGAACAAATGTACATTGTGAATACAAAAAGGCCCTGTTCTGAGCCGCTAAAGATCGGCTATGTGCTTAGGGAATTTCTTAACTCCGGATTTGAATATGTTCACATTAACAACTGAATTGTTCTTCCGGATTCATATTAACAGTGTAGTTTTCAGAGATACTTTCCTTTTTCTTGCGGAAATGCAGGGTGACATCTTTATGAGACCGGGAATGCTCGACATGTATTGCCATTCGATTGATCTATTTGATACTCGTGTACAGCCACACCTGACATGGCTCTGTGGGAGCATGCCTGCATCTATCGCATAGTTTATGCATTTCATGGCAAAGGGCTGTGAGACTGTGAGCTTTTTGACAGATCGGAAATCTTGATGTTTTTCTGCACTGAAATGTCTTCCACTGCGGTTGAGGCTTTGAAGAGAGCATTTGGCTCAGGGGCCTGTAGTCCACCTTGTATCTGCATGATCAGTGTGCCAGCAGCACTTCAGAAAACATGAGTGCAGTTAACCCATATTAGCAGCATGAGAGCATATGTTTGATCCGCTCCAACGTTAGCATTTATTGAGGACTACTGATTTGTACTGGGAAAAAACATTGGTGACTCCATTTTAATTTATTGCTTTACTTTATATGCCTGTGGAATGGAAAGCAGGTCTTGTTGATCAGTATTTCTGCAGGTGGCAAGCGAGACCTCAACCTGTCATGCTCAGCAACTAAATTTGTCTTATTCAGGCACTGCAGTTTGATTCTTGAAAGGTCATTGATGCTTCTTTCCCTTTTATTTGAGGTCAGAGACTACACAGATGTTTGCCTGTGAAGAGGGTGCTAACTGATGCAGACTTACAAGTTTGCAAATATGATTCAATCCCAAGTGTATAACACTGAGGGAGAAACAAAGGCCGTAGCATAAAGCGCATGCACTTGTGATAACCCCCCCAGTCGCTCTAGTCATGTGCTCCTGGTCCTTCTGCTGTCTGGAAAAAAATGTCAGAACAAAGCAACAGAACCACACTCAAGGACTCTGTGGGAAATGCAGTTTCTATTTTCAATTAATCCATCCATGTAAGACAGCCTGGGAAGTTAACTTTTTTTTTTTTTTTTTTTTTTTTTCTTTTTAAGTGAGAAAAATTCCAAGGTGTCAAAAAAGGTGGTCCTTTGCTGGTTAACAGGAGTCTTGGTAACATCTTGGTAACATGATGTAGCAAGCTATCTGTTGACAGATATTAAGTGCTTGTATGGTGAACATAGAGTTTGGTCGGCTCTTTTGTTTTTGTTTATATATATATATATGTATATCTACAGATACTCAGTTGTGTTCTGAGCCCCTTTGAGTTAAATCTGGGACAGAAGAGTCCTCATGAAATAGGTAAAAACTGATAGACTGGTATCTTCTGAGTCTCTTGGACATCTTTAGAACCTCTGTCTTGGTGTGGGTCTTTTGCAGGGAGTAGAACCTGACTTGTTTAATGTCAGCCTTTTTGCTTTTATTTGTAAGGCGGGGGGAGCACTGAAATCAAATGATGAAGTCACTCCTGCTCTGGTGTCTCTGCAGCTATTGCTTGTCCTGGCTGAGTGCTACAACAGTTACCTAGGAAGGATAGATTCAAGGGATGAGAAAAGGATTGATAAAATGCTGGAGGAGGGTTCACTGTTCCTTGTGTTACCTGGGAGGAGCACTACTAGAACCGTGCTGTGATGGCCCTTCTCTCCAAGGTTTATGGGGGAGAAAGGGTGAGCAAGGATTTTTCACCTTTTTGCTGTGTAATTTATTGGATTTATGAAACTTCATTCTCAGAAGTTGGTAAGAAAACATGAGCCTTAAAGGGAAGGATGGGAGATTACCAAGAGCTGCTTGTCCTTTGACTGTTGGGAAAGATGACTTCTCATGTATTGCTCTCATTGCTCTGTAAGGGGTGTTACAAAGGTTTTAACATCTCCACAACAGTAGGAACGCTATGGCCTTCATGTATCTCTTTCAAGCCATACATCCACCTTCTGAAATCTGACTATTTTTATTTCTCTATTTATAGAGAATCCACCATATGGATTTTTACATTGAAGTTGTTCTCAAATAGGGTATTCTTTGTGCGGGTCAGTGTTGCTGGTTTTTAGGCTTTACAGGAACAAACAAAAAAGTGTGTGTGTTCCTTGTGTTGAGCCTATCCTTCAAAAGGAGGGAGCTGAACTTGCAGTTCTCCACTTGCTGATACTATCAACCTGCTCGATGTAGTGTGAGAAGAGATATGAACTGGAAGCTTTCTTTTGTTCTTCACCTAGTTGCTCTTGCATTACTTCCAGATGTACCTTGTTTCTCAAATGGGACAAAAGTAATCCTGAAATATAAGGGGCAGTCATGCAACACATAACCAAAAATATCTGTATAAAAATAGAAGTCTCAAAGTTTGCAGTTTAAGAATTTTCATTTAATGACTGTAGAATTGATTTTTTTTTTTCCTTCCTTGAACTTCTGGAAAATAAGTGTTTCAAGTAACACCAAGTCCTTGTAGACAGCAGTACTTATTATAACTGTAGCCAATTATCTTGATGGTCTGCAGTAAATAATGTCTTGGCTAACACTTGCCATGAGAGTTTTTTGCTCCATGTGTGACTGTCATGTCTCTGTAATTGGTTCTGCAGAATTTGTCGACTTGGAGGGCGAGGGAGGCAATTTTATTTGCTTTAGCTAGTTCTGATGTTGAACACATACTCTTTGTTGCAAAATCTAAAGGCCAATCTTGTAATAATTCATTTTGGACTCTGTGGAAGAATGTTACAGTGGTGCCAAACTTGGGCTTTGTTGTTTTTCTTCTCTTCTTAGATTCACTGGGGTTTTTTTGTACTGTAAAATCTCCTGAAAGCACAATAGCTTGGTAAACCTATATTGCTGCGTACTGTTCACTCGTGGTACTGCTGCTGGCATTTGAGCATGATAGCTGTTTAAAAGTGGTTCATGAAGGAATAAAATCTGTGAGTTTGTTCTCTCTTAGTCGCTATTCCACAAGCCAGTACATAAAAGTGACTGCTTTTTAGGTAGCCTGTGGTGTCTAGGTGACAGTTGAGTTTAATACCGTGTGGTGTCCAGGTAGGTGTGTGGGGAGAGCCTTGGAAAAAGAGCACCCTGGGCCCCTTCGGGGAGAAGGAATGAGTGGGGTTGTTGAAACAGGCGAAATGATCGAGATAATACCACCTGGTGTTTCTCAACCCAGTTAGGGTAGGGCCCTCTCTATTGCTTTGATAGCAGTTTCTGCCTAATTGGTTTCTGAAACTGAAAGCCGCCCATCCTGCTTTCCTTGCTGGAGAGTGGAAGATCACTCCCTTCCAGAAGCCTGCTGAGCGGTATGTGTCTGGCCGTTGCTGATCCTAGCCCTGTCCAGCTTTCTGACTGCTGCTGGGTGAGCAGCTTTCCTCATGCCTAGACTGGAAAAAATTGCACCAATGGGGTCAGCTAATGAACACGTGTGCGGGAGTGAAAAG